TGTGCAAAAGCAGCGGGGCTCTAGAATCATGCACAAAAGAGCCCAAGAAGAGAACATTCCAATTCCCAGGCTCTGCTCATACTGTAACAGTAACTTCTCCCAGAAAGAAAAGAGTTCCTTGTGGAAACTTTCCCCAGCCATCACGACTCAAATTTCCCAATTACGAGAATTTTCACCAATCCTTACCAATGTGATGATACTCATATCTCCTAAGTATGCAGGTTAACACTAATTTTTTTAAACAGATACGTATAGTATGTCTAAAGAGATACTTTTTGCTCTCCCACTGATAAAGGTATTTTATTTTCCACCATGAAATAATTGAAAAATAAATTAGTAAATGAATATTGGTGTAACTGAACCATACTTACTGGGGGTTGTGCAATTAAGTCTGTGAAATCTTGCATGGAGACCAAAGTGAGTTCTTGTAGCTGTAAAGTCATAAGTGTAGCAGCACAGTTGAAAAAAGATTCCAATTTGGCACTGCTGTCACCAGTTGGCAATTGCTTTTTTTTATTACCTTGGTAATAAATATTCTGTACTTCTGGGAACCACCTTGAAAGAAAAAAGGACTTTTAAAAGTTAACACTTTTAGGGAATGACTTTTTTTTTTACATTTTAAGCATTAACAGTAACTTCTGGACATCCAAATGTCTTCATAGAAAGGTATAGTGCTAAGTGACATTATCCACTCTCTGAAATGTAAGCGTTAGCATGTTTCACTTCTCCTAGGAAAAGAACTTTTAATCACAGCTAATACAAAATGATTCAGTGATGTGATGTTGTCAGAAAAATGTAAGTCGAACTCCTAGAACTATGATTTATGTACTTTTTGAATGAACATGACAACTAACTTTATTGAATATTACACGATACTCCTCTCCAGTCTCCAAGATGTTCTTCAGGGAATGCATTTGTTGTTTTAAAGCTAAAATGTGAACGGCTGATTAAACCAAGGGAAGGCTTATTTGGTTCAACCCACTTGGCATTTTATGCTATTCAATCTGTTTCACAATGACTTGAAAACAAGGTACAAATCAACAAAATCAAGTATGTTACTTTTTTATC